GTGGTTGCTTTGTGGCGTAGAACCCAACCATCGAGAAATGTTTCTAATATTTCGGTTAGCTTCTTCAGCAAAATACAACAACTAGCTGTCAGTATGATGCGCTGCATTTCAACAATTGCTAGGGACTAACAGTACGTTTTTAATCACGATACTTTTTCCACGATATTGGTGGTTGATGCATTGATGCAGCCTCATAATCAATTTAAATATTGGAGATATGGGATTTTTTGTTTGTTTGTTTTTTTTTGCCTGTTATGTGTGTGTTCCATTGCACAGTGGCAATTTTGACAGCTAATAGTGACAATGCAATGCATAGGACGTCCCCGAAATAATGTTCAGTCCTCACCCTTTTGTTATAAATACTCTTAAATGTAATATTTATTCATTCGTTAGATTTTTGGGGATATTAAATACTGTATATGCTTTCGGAGTAAAAGCTCTGTCTCCTTATTCATGGGCCTTTTATGTATATTTTTAAGTTTTTAATTACAGCGGTGGCTGTTGCACTCAGCCACCGCTAGGTGGTACAAAGGTAATTGTAGTCAAGGAAAACGAACGAAATAGCTAAAACTCAAATTTGAAAACACATTTGCACATTTATTGAAAAAAAAACACAAAAAAAAAAAACCCCCAATAACAGACCTAAACTACATTTTGGGTTCATAAGACTGTCTCTGACAATAATTCCAGCAAAAATGTCCTTTTTTTTCCCATCTTTGTCAATGAATTGCACAAGAGCTTTTGACGTTTATTTAAAATGTATTAATTTCGTTAATACTGTACAGCCGTGAAAAAGGAAGGTCATTGTAGGGAATTGTAGTTTACTCAACATAATTCCACTTTAATACATTACTTTTTTTTTTTTTTTTATCTTACACTGGACAAATACCGCATACTCTATATATCTTTAAAAACTCAAACTAATACTAAAACTAACAAAACTCAATGAATCGAAACTAATAAAAACAAACAAACCCCTTCTCAAAATAATCAAAACTAACGGAATTAAAAAAAAAACTAACGACCTGAAATCAACATAAAAGCAAAGCCAAATGACAATTTGAAAGCCATTATAAATCTGGGTGACAGGCTACTTGGTGTAATAGGTCTTGCAGTACATCCCTGCAGCCCTATTATCAACGACAAGCACAATATTACACAAATAAGACCCCTCTTAGAGTAAAATCTTATCTTAAGTATTTTTTTGTTTGTTTTTGTAAAAGCTCTTGATGGTGTTGCGGCGTCGCAGCACTGAATGTTGCGCCGCACCGGGCAGACCAAAGTATGATCCTGATGTATAGCGAAATCATTCCTTGAAGAGAACATTTCCGTCCATTGATGGTGATTGGCGTCACTATTAGCACCCCGAGACCGCGCCCCCTCTGGCCTCTGCTTTGATTGAACGCCTTCTCTTCCAAAAGGCCAACCGACAACAAAAGCCCCAGCGCAGAGGAAGGACCTAATTAATATTGGCTCCTGTTTGCTTGAGTTAATGAATGAGTGAATTATGCACCTCTGGGACAACGCCTCACCCGTTCGGTTTGAATGACACCCGCCCCCTCCCTCCATCCCAGCATTGTACTCCAATTTCACCACTCTAAACCTGCACCGGCGGGCCCCGTGTCATCGAGCAGACCACTACACACACATAGACTGAGCCCCCCCCGCCCCCCTGCCCCTCCAAGTGAGTCCATCTGTCCTGTCCATCTTTAGCCTGCTAGGGTGTGTTTTGGTTCATTGTCTCCAGCGTGTTTATTGTCTTAATGCAGAGCCGCTGTTCCAACCCGTGTCATCGGCTCAAATAACTTCCATCCCATTAACACGTTGGAGAGGCGGGGTGGGGGATTTGACAAACCAAAATTGGCTGCAATCTGATACTCTCACACACACACACGCACACACACACACACACACACACACACCAACACACAAAATTTTAAATCACAACTACACACACGCACACACACACACACACACACACACACACACACACACACACACATTTTGGTCAGATGAAGGGGTGGAGGAGAAAGAAAGAGGATCCATATTATTTGCATTAAAAGCCTTGCACCGTGAAATTCATGTATAATTACAAAAAAAGGGTGGTGGAGGATGGGGGTGATGTGCATGTGTGTGTGTGTGTGTGTGTGTGTGTGTGTGTGTGTGTGTGTGTGTGTGTGTGTGTGTGTGTGTGTTATGCAAATGGGGGACATGTGTGGAGTCAATCACGCTCGGAATTGGTTATTTTGTGATATGCTAACACGGAATGTATGGTGACAGATTGCAATTATCCCGTTATTGTAATTGTCAAAATCAATTCAGCGCAGGCTGACTGCATCGGGCTTGCGTGGAGGGGAAGCAGTTCTCATGCTGAGCTCTTCAAGACGCGCTGAAATTAGATAAATACCCCATTTCCGCAAATAGTGGCCGGGAGGCATTTATTTACTTAACTGCAGATGAGGGCAGACATCAATTAGGGGGTCGGCCTTTATTTGTAAAAAAAAAAAAAAAAACACATTCTGGGAATACAGTGATCCCTTTTAATTGGGGGAGTTATGTTGCAGACGCACCTGCAATGGATGAAAACCCGCCATATCGAGACCATGTCCAAATCACAATTTTAAAGCTCCTAATCCCTCCCACATATTGCTGAACTCGGGCTGAGTAGTATTGTGGACCTTAAAATATGATTTGATAATGATTCTTTCGCAAGTACAGTAATTCATTTTCGATTTGGATTCTTGAGGTTCGATTTTCATTCAACATTGATTTGGGTTGGGGGTTGGGTTAAGGGGTAAGGTTTGAGTTAGGAGTTAGGGTTGGGGTTAAAGGTTGGGTTAGAGTGAGGGTTAGGGTTGGGAGGTTAGAGTTCGGGTTGGGGTTATGTTTATATTTATGGTTGGGTTAGGGTTGGGGTTCTGTTCGGGTTGGGTTAGGGTGAGAGTTGGATTTAGGGTTGGGGGTTCGAGTTAGTGTTGGGGTTGGGATTGGGTTAGGGTTTGGGGGTTAGGGTTGGGGTTTGGGTTAGGTTTAAAGGTTGGGCCAGGGTTAGGGGGTTAGAGTTTGGGTTGCAGGGTTAGGTTTAGGGTTGGGGTTAGGGTTGCGGGGTTAGGCTAGAGTTAGGAATTAGATGTTAGGGTTTAGTTTAGGGTTAGGGTTAAGAGTTCAGGTTAAAACTGTTGGGTTAAAAATCACCCGATATGAGTAAAACCAATTCAACACAGTTTTGTTTGTTTGTTTTTTTAACACGAGCAGCCCAAACAACATTATCGAGGAAATGTGGTATATCCAATGTGTTAAAATTGAAATTGTATGTCAAGTGAACATATGCGAAGCAGTTATGTCAACACCTGGTGAGATTGGGCACATTAAGTAAACCAATAAGTCCCAATAAAGACAGCAGGAAGCACAGGGCAGGTTCTTATTCTGCAAATCGAGTGTCATTTTCTCCTGAGTCTGCTGTTTTGGATTGCATTTTCATGTCTCCTTCTTGTTTGGATTACCGGGAAATCAAAACAAAGTATTGTGAATTGAGTAAATTACGATAGTCAAAAAGGAAAAAAAAAAGAATATTGTGTACAACTTGTTCCAGCCAACTGCAGTTTATTTTCATTATTTTTTTGTATTTTTAACTCATTTAGTACAATTGTGTAATGCAGGATTTTCTCCGTTGTTTACTTGCAGCAACTACTGAAAATGTATTGTGTTCCTTATTTTTGTTCTTTTTTCTAATTGTCCAACTGTATGAGTTTATTTTCTGGGGAAAAAAGTGTGCGCCGAAAAGTGTGCAGTACTGACATGCTTTTCATTTGTCTGTACTGCCCCAATGTGTTGGAAGGATGCAGTGCAGGTTAATGCAAAATAAATAAATAAATAAAAACCAATTTCATGTTCAAAATATTCCTTTTTTTTTTTTTGTTCATTTGACATTAAACAGTGATAAAAAAAAAAAGTCACCTCGTATTACTCATGGGCGTCAAAATATTTTGACTTTTTAATGGCCAACTCTTCACATGTACAATATGCATGATATCATTTGGGTATACTGTAATAACACTGAATCCTATGTAAAGTATCAACACACAACAAAAATTAACAATTATTAATGTTGTTTTTCAGTCTTTCTCTGCCTTTCTCTTCATCCGTGTTAAATATTTTTCCATGTTGAGTGTTTGTTCATTGCACTTCAGACAGTATCTCCTGCTGTCTTGTGTGCGTAGATGCTCGATGCAAAAAGAGATACACCTTTACTCCCTGTATACAAACTAACAATGAGAGCACCACTGCCACCTACTGTAGTGGATGTGCAATTACACTTTATACTCGTAATAAGCATGCTACCTGGAGTCATACTCGATCCCTGCAGTCGCCCCATTATTTGAGAATATGACGTGAATGTAATGGCTGTCTGTCTCTATATGTGCCCTGTGGTTAGACGGCGACCTGTCCAGGGTGTAGCTCGCCTTTTGCCAAAATGAGCTGGGATAGGTACCCGGGATCCATTCATTCATTTTCCGATCATTATCCTCATAAGGGTCGCGGGGGCTACTGGAGCCTATCCCAGCTGTCTTCGGGCAGTAGGCGGGGGACACCCTGAACCGGTTGCCAGCCAATCGCAGGGCACACAGAGACGAACAACCATCCGCGCTCACACTCACACCTAGGGACAATTTATAGTGTTCACTCAGCCTGTCATGAATGTTTTTGGAATGTGGGAGGAAACCGGAGTACCCGGAGAAAACCCACCCAGGCCCGGGGAGACCATGCAAACTCTACACAGGGAAGCCGGAGCTGGAATTGAACCAGGTACCTCTTCACTGTGAGGTAGACGCATTAACCACTAGACGACTCACCCGGGATCCAGTTCATCCAAAATCCAATAGTTCAATTAATTTTTCAAATCTTTCCATTGTTTGTTTGAGGCAACGATGCAACCGCGACGTCGGCCGAGCATGATGGTGTCTTGGTAGGTCACAGCACCTACAAAAGGCGTCCAATCGTGTCACTTATATGTCATCCTTGAATGACTGGGGGAAATGCCATGATGTGTTGTGATGTATTTTAACAGACTTTATAGCACTCTTCTTTCTGACTCAGCGCTGACAGCCATTTTGAAAAGTGAGCGGTGGAATTTACTACTAAACGTACAGTTGCTATTTAGTTAGTTAGTCAGTTAGTTAGTTAGCAAGCAGTCTTAACTCATGTAAATTAAGAGAATAACGAATGGATCCCAGTAGTCTAAATCCAGAGTTGACAGCAATGTAAAAGTAGCTTTGTGCTATGACTGAAGAGCGTCGGCCATGTTGTGCAGGTAACGGCACACCTGACACTATTTAGCCGTTAACTGCATCCACCCACGGCTCTACTCCACGCGAGATGGCGCAACCTCGCCGAGTCCAGCTCACGTCTTTGCCCACTGACGTCCGGTCCTGTGCGGTCAACGGAACCGTCCTCGCCCCGAAGTCTCCGCCAGAACGCGGCGGTGGTTCCCGGCCAACGACGAACTGCGTGCCGGGTTCGGTGCGCCTCGTCATCGCCTTGTTTGAGCCGGATGAGCGCAGCTTCAGCGAGTTTAGTTACACTCAGCTGCTGGAAAGCAAGGTAAACTGTGAAGTTTGAGATATCTTGGACTCGGTGGTCAGAAGTTTGTATCGTTCTGTCGTGATGTTTTAGCTCTTTAATCACGTGGGTCTGTATCAGAAGTTTGTGTGCTGTTTATAGGTCATTTAACCGAGATTCTTTAGAATGGGTTGTGTATTTACGGTGACATTTTGCTAACAAAGTGCCCTTGCGTAGGTTGTAAAAACAAGACAAAATTGTCCAGATGAGTGCATGTGAGTAGATGGGCCGAGATTAATCTACAAATTATTGATTATCAAATTCATCAACTCATTTTTAAATATTCGAAGAATCATTTAGAGACATTGCTGAACTTAAATTGTCCAAATACTTCGATTTCAGCTCCTCAACAATAAATATTCTTTGATTTCTATGGTTCTCTTCATGAAAGCAGACCTAATCAAAATAAGGCATTTGCAAACATCTACTTTTACTTTGGAAAGCTGATTGAATCACTTACTGAATCAGTTACACAAACGTGGGTGCATACATCAATCCCTCTTGTGTCATCTTGCTTAATTGTTTTCTTTTTTTTTCACTGAACGATACCAAATGAACACAAAATTGGTTGATTAAACAATAGAATAATTATTATAAAAATATTCACTCGTGACTGCTCAACATGTTAGGATGATTGATTTATTTGATTATCTCCCCCAAAATCTCCAGCTCACTTTCAACCCTAAAGAGAAGCGCTGCAGAAATTCAGTATGTGGAAAATGTGTTTAACAGTAAAGGGGGCAGAGGTGTTGTTTTTTTGAGGAGGATAAAAAAACCTCAAACAAAAGGAAATGTGGTCTTTTCACTGAACAGCAACCTATTTGTGTATTATGTTGATGAATCTTATTTGTTTCTCTTTTAAGAAGAGCAACAAAAACGATGAAGTCAAGCCTCAGTCCAGATTCGAGGTGGAGGAGCAGAGGGAGAAGGAGCAGATGGCTGACCTTGCGAAGAAGATGGAGAAAAAATATGTGAGTCGCTGCTTCAGTTCCTCTTTTGTCATTTTCCTCCTTTCTAAGAAACTTCGTTTTGGGTTGATGTGGACAAAAAAAATGTTTATTTGCAGACAGTCAAGAAAAAGCGAGACCGCGTTCAGGACTTGATTGATATCGGCTACGGATACGATGATGAGGATTCCTTCATTGACAACTCGGAGGCTGTGAGAACTGTTTTCCCAAACGCATTAGACCAACATAATGAGAGTTGTATCAGAAGGGCCGTCGATATCAATATGGAAATGTTGATCTTTAATTAATTTGGTGCTCAGCTCTGTTGGTTCATTTCGATATAGCTCTTGCATAGAATGTTAAGGTTCTATATTATACCCTGTGGGTGCTTACTGGGCCACTGACTTGCACCTTGTGACTCAAAATGTTGGCAAATTCACGTCACTTGGATCTAACGTGATGTCACATCCCAATTTGGTTGTCGCAACAGTACGATGAGTTTGTGCCGTCCTCCATCACCACCAAATTCGGAGGCTTCTACGTCAACTCTGGTGTGCTGCACTTCCGCCAGGTTTCTGACACTGAAACGGATGATGGGACCACAGGAGAGAGAAAGCCAGAAACCGCCAAGGTAGGCCAACAATCTCTTCGCTGAAATGTAAAGTTCCTGCAGTGAAAGCACAGAAACATAAACTGCAATATTTTACTTGTTGTATTTACTTTATAGCCCATATTGCCATGTGATAAAACTTGCTCTCAATGTACAGAAACGTGACCTGAAAGACGGACAAGAGATGCCAAAGAAGAAAAGGCGCAGAAAAGTTCTGCTGGATAAAAACGATGTTGATGCAAATTCCAGGTGAGACTTAGAAAAGTTCAGTTTGGCATGTGTGTGACGTGCTGTTATTCTCTCGCAGAGTCTCATCTGAGCTTGCAGCGGGTGATGAGCTGACGATGAAGAAGAAGAAAAAGAAAGCGGCCGTCACTCTGAGCGTCACCAGCATGCTGAAGAAGTTCCGGCGGGAAAAGGAGCGAGAGCGGAAGAAAATGGAGAAAGCTAAACAGCGCATGGCGAGCATCCCACTAAGTCCTGTGACACCACACTGCCCGGCGGACGCGGGTGGCGGCGGGGGCTCGGGATTGGCCGACCCGCTGCTCAGCTTGATCGGATCCACAGATGAACAGGCACTTCTCCAGGCCGCCAGTACGGTGGAATTTGACATCGACCTGGACTGTTTGTTGGATGTCGGTGACGAGATATCAACACCCCAGTCTTTAATGGAGGCGCCCCCTCCAAACCAGCCCAGAACAGACCATCCACACCCGCCTGGAGCCTCTTGCGATGCAACACAGCCTCCAAGCAGAAAAATGACCCAATCACAAAAACCTAATTCAGAGATTGTGTCATCTTTTCATTGCGCCGTCCTACCAGAGGGACTCCCGCCTCCACTAGAGAGCAGCATCAAGAAATTGATGCTGGTAAAATGCACCTATGCAATTGGTCCCAGACACGATGATGTCACAGCATGTTTTCAGCGCTGCAGTACAGATGAACACTTGTACACACTCTGTTTGTGCAGGCAGCCAAGACCGCGGAGGGGGAGTCCAAACTCAAGTTCTTCACCCCGGAAATCAACTCTGTCCTGCTAGAGTGAGTCACACCCAGATGGTGAAAAAAATATTCTCACTCTGTACTTCAGTAGTAGTACAATTACTTGAGTAAAAGAATAACTTTGGTAGAAGTACAAATTCCAGACCATGGTTTTTTTTTGTTTTTTTTGCTATTACACTAAAACAGTGTAATTGCACCTCCACTGCAGTAGGTGGTAGTGCAAATGCACATAACCGAAACTCCCACCGGTTCTATGCCATCAGTTTTCCACCTATGCTTCAAATGACCCGGAGATGACAAATTATGTGCTTTTCACTTGTGATCTTTTTCAGCATAGAGTGTCAATGTCGTGAGCACGGCGGCCAGTTGCGCTCCCGGGTGTACACGCACCTGTCCTCTTTCCTGCCCTGTAGCAAGGAGACGCTCCGGAAACGTGTCAAGAAACTCAAGCTTGCAGTGAGTAGTTTGATTGAACCACACTTTTTTTTTTTTTTTTTTTCTGAATAAAGGGACTTTTTTTTTTTTTTT